AAAAATAATATAAAAATAATAAAATAAAACCATACGATAATATAAAATTAAAGTATAAAATAATAATATAAAGTAATTAATATAATATTAAAATAATAATTTTGAAATATTTTTATTATTTATATATTTTATAGAAAACATTTAAAAATATAAAGAATAATAAAAAGCAGAATAATTCAGGAATTCTCCAGGGAACAACAAAAAAAAATCTCATTTTTCTACTGGGTTTTTGCCCAGGGAGGGGATTTCTGTGGTTTTATGCAAAATGAGCTGAAAAATCAACAAATAAAATAAAAAAAAAGGCGCAAAAATTGGGAATTGTGGGGTTCTCGTTCCTGGAAATCGGGAAAAAATTCCCTGAGAAAATTGGGGGGAAATCAAGGGAATTCTGCTCCAAAAATCGACATTTTCCTCCAAAATGTGAAAATCTCAGGGGTTTGAACAGGGCTGGATTTCAAATCTGAGGGGAGGAAAAAGAAAGGAAAAGGAAAAATTAAAATAGGGAGAGAAAATTAAATTAGAGAAAGGAAAAAAAATTAAAATAAAATTTAAAAAATATAGCATATGAGAAAATAAAAATGTAAAAAAGGAAGTAAAATACAACATGAAAAAATATAATCTAATTTTATTTAAACTAGAACATAGAATTAAATAATATTCTTAGGATAGAACGAAATAAAATCTAAGAAATAAAATAAAATAAAATAAATAAAATTTTGCGATTTTGGGGGATTTTTTTGGGTTTGGGAATTTTGGAGTTTTTTGGGGTTTTGGGGAATATGTGGCAAATATTGAATATATGGGATATATGGATTCCATTGAATATATATAAATTATATGGATTATATGGATTATATAGACTTTATTGATTATATGGGTTATGTGGAATATATTAATTATATTGATTATACGGATTATATTGACTTCATTAATCATATCGATTATGTGGAATAGAATTGTATTGATTATATGGATTATGTGGAATATATTAATTGTATTGATCATATGGGTTATGTGGAATATATTAATTATATTGATTATATTAATTATACTGATTATATGGACTTTATTGGTGTCCCTGAGGGGCTCAGGGATTGGGTGGGAAAATTGGGATGGGAAAAACGGGATTCGGTGGGAAAAAACGGGATTGGGTGGAGAAAATCGGGATGGTAAAACCGGGATGGGAAAAACGGGATTGGGAAACCGGGACTGGGTGGGAAAAACGGGATTCGGTGGGAAAAAACGACATGGAAAAACCGGGATGGGGTGGGAAAAAACGGGATTAGGTGGGGAAAAATGGGATTGGGTGGGATGGTTGGAAAACTCGGGGGAAAAAGGGATGGGATGGGAAAGGGATGGGGGGGAATTGTTGGAAGATTCGGGATGGGAAAATGGGGCTGAGGTGGGAGATCTGCCGAATTTTTGGGGTGAAAAAGGCTGAGGTGGGAGCACTGCTGAATTTTTGGGGTGAAAAGGACTGAGATGGGAGATCTGCCGAATTTTTTGGGTAAAAAAGGCTGAGGTGGGAGCGCTGCTGAATTTTTGGGGTAAAAAAGGCTGAGGTAGGAACGCTGCTGAATTTTTGGGGTGAAAAAGGCTGATTTTTGGGTAAAAAGGGGCTAAGACAGGAGCGCTGCTGATTTTTGGGGTGAAAAAAGGCTGAGGTGGGAGCGCTGCTCAATTTTTGGGGTGGGAGCGCCGCTGATTTTTGGGGAGGGAGCGCTGCTGATTTTTGGGGTGGGAGCGCTGCTGAATTTTTGGGGGTGGGAGCACTGCTGATTTTTGGGTGGGAGCGCTGCTGATTTTTGGGGTGGGAGCGCTGCTGGATTTTTGGGGTGGGAGCGCTGCTGGTCCCGGCGGTTCCGGGAGAAGGAGGCGGCGGCGGCTCCGGCCCCGGGGGATTTTCCGGAGGGTCCCTTTGAGTTTCCAAGGACGGGCATTTTCCGGAGGGTCCCTTTGATTTCCAAGGACGGGGATTTTCCGGAGGGTCCCTTTGATTTCCAGCGAGGGCTGCCAGCCCAGCCGTGCCCGCCCAGCCGTGCCCCGCTTCTCACCCCGGCCTCGCCGCCCTCCTCCCCTGGCACCGCGCCCGGCCCCGGGCTCTGCTCGGGGTTTTTGGGTTTGTTTTGGTGCTTTCCTCCCGACCTTTTGCAAGAAAATCCCCTTTTTTCACCTCTCCCCCTCTGTTTTTTTTCCTCCTCTCTTATCTCGGAGCTAATTGGGCTCTCTGAAGTCTTTTCTCAGCAGCAAATCCCGTCCCCACTCCCAGTCCTGCCCCATAACCCAGCGACGCTCCGGGGCCCAAATCTGGGGGGTTCCTGAGCCTTTTTTGGGCTTGTTTTAGTGTTTTGTGCTTTCCTCCTGACCTTTTGGAAGAAAACCCCTTTTCACCTTTTCCCCTGGACTTTTTTCCCCGCTCTTATCTCGGAGCTAATTGGGCTCTCCAAAACCCTTTTTTTTTCTTTTTTTGCCCAGAGAAAGGAGTGTATTAGAGCTGGGGGGGTGGAAGATTTTATCTGCGGTGCCCGGGGCCCTGCAGAAGCCGCAGCAGGTACTTCATCCCTCATCCCTCATCCCTCATCCCTCATCCCTCATCCCTCATCCCTCATCCCTCACCCCGCGTCCCCGGCCGCCCCCGCCGAGCGGATTTGCAAATTTACCCAAGGCCGAACAATGGATCTCCTGGCAGCCCCTCTGTTGACTTGTTTAGAAATCCCAGAGGCGTTTCGAGGTAAAAAGGTCAGAGCTGCACCGGGCCCGCTCCTCCTCCCTCCCCTCCGTCCCTCCCTGGAGGTGAAACCCGGAAATTTGGTTTATTCCGGGCCAAATCCCCTTTTAGCCCCGGCCTTTGGGGAGCTGAGGGGAATAAACCGCGTTTGAGGCTTCGTTTATTGGGGTTTGAGGCGCGTGAATTGGGAATAAAACAGAAATTCTGGGGGGGAAAATAAATAAATCAGAAATTCCTCCCATCCCCACCCCGCAGCGCGTCCCGGTTTTTGCGGGATGCAAATTCCCGGGATTTTCACCCCGGGATTATTTCCTGCTCTCCTCAGGCCGGGAAATGAGTGCAGAATTCCAAGAGGGAATTCTTTTTGGGAAGCTGGGCCCGATTCCAGGAAAAGGGATCGGCCCCTTTCTTTGGGATCCTTGGAGCTTTTCCTTCCTCCTCCTCCTCCTCCTCCTCCTCCTCCTCCTCCTCCTCCCAGGCCGCGCTCCCCCGCCCCGCATCCCGCAATTCCCGGAGATTCCCACTGGGCTGAAAAGACGGGAATTGAGGGGGAAAAAAAAAAAAAAATTCAATTTTATTGGGCTGAGGTAGTTCCGTGCGGGGGCAGGAGATTCCGGCGGAGGAAGCGCTCGGGATTTGGGGATAATTCCATTTTTACCAGCAGCTTTTCAGTCCTGAATCCTCGCGAGCGAGTTAGGCCGAGGTTAAATCCCGGCTTTATCCGGCTCCGATAAGCCCGAGAGGGTGCGAGGAACGCGCTCCGGAGCTCCAAAAAATCCTCCCCGTCCATCCTCGCACCTCCTGCTTTTCCTCCCAGAACAAAAATCACAAAAATCACAAAAATCACAAATATCCCCTCCTCCCTCCGCCGGCAGCAGCAAAAATCGCCTGGAAAACATGACCCTGTAAAGCAGAAATAGTGCAAAACGGGAGCAGAAAATTGCGCTTTTTCTTTCTTCTTTTTTTTTTTTTTTTTTTTTTGCTTTTTTTCTTTTCTTTTTTTCTCCTTTCCTGAGGGTTTGGCTCTTTGCAGAGGCCTCGAGCGTCTTGGGCGCCTCGGGCCTCGTTTTAAGATCTACAATCAGGAAATAAAACGGGAAAGAAGGAGGGGGAAATGCCCGAAACTTTTTAACTTGTTCTCGTGGGGGTTTTTTTGTTTGTTTTTTTTTTTGGGGGGGGGGTTGGTTTTTGGGGTTTTTTTTTTGCTTTTTTGGGTTTTTTTGTTTTTTTACATTCTCACAAGGAGGAAAAACGCATCGGGCGGAGAGGGAGGTGAGGGGAAAAAACGGTCGCGCTCGTTTTTCCAAAGGGAAGCGAACTAAATTAATTTTTTTTTTGTATTTTTTGTTTTGTTTTGTTTTGTTTTTTTTCCCTGGAGTTGAAAGTGCAGTTCCTAACAGGGGAAGGGAGAAGGCAGAAAAGTCCCTGAGCCACGGAAATTCGGAAATTGCTGCGGCCGCTCCTCGCGAGTCCAGCGGGGGCTATAAATAAAGAACCACGGGCGGTGCCCCACGCGTGGGGACATCCAGGGGGGCTGAGGGTCCTGCGGGGGGCTCGCAGCCCCTCGGGGACATCCAGGGGTGCCGAGGGTCCTGCGGGGGGCTCGCAGACCCTCGGGAACACCCCTGGGGGGGCTGAGGGTCCTTCGGGGGTCTCGCAGCCCCTCGGGGAGGGTCCTGCGGGGGTCTCGCAGCCCCTCGGGGACATCCAGGGGGGCTGAGGGTCCTGCGGGGGGCTCGCAGCCCCTCGGGGACACCCCTGGGGGGGCTGAGGGTCCTGCGTGGGGCTCGCAGCCCCTCGGGGACATCCTCGGGGGGGTTGAGGGTCCTGCGTGGGGCTCGCAGCCCCTCAGGGACATCCAGGGGGGCTGAGGGTCCTGTGGGGGTCTCGCAGCCCCTCGGGGGGTTGAGGGTCCTGCGGGGGTCTCGCAGCCCCTCGGGGACAGCCAGGGGGTGCCGAGGGTCCTGCGGGGGTCTCGCAGCCCCTCGGGGACATCCTCGGGTGGGTTGAGGGTCCTGTGGGGGGCTTGAAGCCCCTCAGGGACATCCAGAGGGGTTGAGGGTCCTGCGGGGGTCTCACAGCCCCTCGGGGGGATGAGGGTCCTGCGTGGGTCTCGCAGCCCCTCAGGGACATTCAGGGGGGCTGAGGGTCCTGCGGGGGGCTCGCAGCCCCTCGGGGAGGGTCCTGCGGGGGGCTCGGAGCCCCTCGGGGACATCCAGGGGGGCTGAGGGTCCTGTGGGGGGCTCGCAGCCCCTCGGGGACACCCCCGGAGCCCTCAGGAGGAGCCGGAGCTGGGCGAGGCCTCGGGCGAGGAGGGCTCCGAGCCTTCGGCCCCTTCCTTGGCCGCCCCGCAGGCAGCGGTCGGGGCCAGCCCTTCCTTCTCCCTCTTCTTCTGCTTCATGCGCCGGTTCTGGAACCAGATCTTCACCTGCGTCTCGTTGAGCTCCAGGCTGGCGGCGATCTCCACCCTGCGGGCCCGCGTCAGGTACTTGTTGAAGTGGAACTCCTTCTCCAGCTCCGTCAGCTGCTTGGTGCTGAAGTTGGTGCGGATGGCGCTGGGCGGCCCCAGCAGCCCCAGCTCGGCCGTTTTGCCTGGGAAAGACCCAAAAAAGCGGCAGGGCAGGAGCGGCCGGAGGAGGAACGTTCCCCCTCGGGGGTCTCCCCTTCTCCCTCCTCCCGGCGCGGCTCGGCCCCGGCCCGGATCGCGTCCCGCTCCAGGCTCCACTTTTCCTGCAATTCCATCTGGAGATCCTTCCAGAGATCCTGGAGATCCAACCCTTCCCTCATCCTCCCCGCTGGGTTTTTCCCCCGGGATCCATGCCCTGAGTTTTCCTCTGCGATCCATTCCCTGAGTTTTCCTCCCGGGATCCATTTCCTGGGTTTTCCCTTGGGATCCATCCCCGGAGTTTTCCCCCAGGATCGATTCCCTGGGTTTTCCCCCTGGGATCCATTCCCTGGGTTTTCCTCCTGGGATCAATTCCCTGGGTTTTCCCCCTGGGATCAATTCCCTCATCCTCCTGGATGTGCTTTTCACCCAGGATCCATCTCCTCATCCTCCATTCCCTGGGATTTCCTCTGGGATCCATTCCCTAGGTTTTCCTCCTGGGATCCATTCCCCGGGATTTCCCCCTGGGATTTCCCCCTGGGATCCATTTCATGGAATTTTCCCCCTGGGATCCATTCCCTGGGATTTTCCCCTTGGGATTTTCCCCTCGGGATCCATCTCGAGTTTTCCCCCTGGGATCCATTCCCTGGGGATTCTCCTCCGGGATTTTCCCCTGGGTTTCCCCCGGGATCCACGCCCGGACCCCGCGGGAAGGGCTGGAAGGGGAAGGAGAGGGTGATGATGGCGGGGGAGGAGGAGGAAGGCCGGGTTCGAGGGAAGGTGATGAGGAAGGAAGTGGAACAATAGCGGAGGGGGTGGAAGGCGCGGCTGAGGAAGGAGGAGGAAGCGCCGCGCGTTTCCTGCTCTGAGCGGGGCTTAAATCACACTCGGGCCTGCGGGAAACCGAGCTCGGGGAGGCTCCGTGGGGTGGGATGGAAAATCTCTGGGTGGGCTTTAAGAAAAAGGCCCCAAAACCCAAACAACCCAAACACACACAAAAAAAAAACCCCAAAACAAAAACCACCCCAGAACACAAACTTCAAAAAGAAAACCACGAACTTCAAAAAGAAAAACCCCAAACCTAAACAACCTCCCAAGAAAACCACCAAAACCCAAACAAACCCAGCCAAAACAAAACCCAAACCCCAAATAACCCCCGAAAACACCCCAAACCCCAACCAAACCCAACCCGAACCCCAAACCCGTGGAAGACGAGTCCCAACACTTGGGTCTCGCTGCGGGGCCGCCCCGCTGCCCCCAAACTCACCAGTTTTGGGGGGGTTCCTCTTCACCCTCATCCACTCGAAGGTCAGCGCGGCCTCGCCCCTGGCGCCCGGCTCGGCGTGGCCCGGGGGCTCCGGCTCCTCGTGGGCGAGGTCGCCGAAGAGGCCGGGCAGGTAGCCCGGCTGCTCCGGGCCGAAGGCGGGCGGCTGCGGGAACTGCCCCTGGGGCCCGCAGTAGCCCTCGGCCAGCGAGCCCGAGCCGTAGGCGGCCGCGGGGAGGTACAGCCCGTCCGCGTCCTGCTGGCCCGGGTAGAGCGGCTGGTAGCCCGGCTGGGGCTGGTAGCCCGGCGTGGCGAAGCGGGAGGAGGAGGAGGAGGAGGAGGAAGGCGGGTGGAAGCTGTGCTGGGGGAGATGCCCGAAGTGGCTCTCGGCGCTCGGAGCGGGGCTACCTGAGCAGGGAGGGAAGGAAGGCGAGGCCGGCTCGGGGTGGCGGGGCTGGAAGGCGGCGGTGCCGCGGTTACAAATTGCGAACTCCAAGAAGGAGTTCATGGCGGTATTGTCCATCTGCCAGTGATGGAGGAGGGTCAGCGCGTTTTGGGGGCGATGCCTGCTGCCCTCCAACCTTTGGGCGCTATGTCAAAGCTGGGAAACTTCCTGCGGGCACCGGGGGACCCCGCGGAACCGCGGCCGGACCGGGGGGGACCCGCGGGCGGAGCGGGCCCGGCCCAATGAGCGCGGCGCTGCCGAAGTTTGCGGCCGCTCCGGCTCATCCATCACGGGCCCGGCGTTTGCATGACAAAGGGGCTTCAATCAAACCCGGCCCATCAATCTGATAACAACACGGCCGCGTCAAAACCTTCTCCTCAAAGGCTTTAAAAGAGACAGGGCCGAGCTGGGGTGCTGAGGAGGGGGGGGGGGGGAAAGGTTTGCAGTGACCCGCGAGTGTTTTTTAAGTGCTAAAAAGGGCCCCGAGTTATGCGGGGAGCCGGTTTTAGGCACAAGTTCTGACTTTAAAAGGGTTTTTTTGCCCCCCCACCCCCCCTCCGAGCGATGCCGGCTCGGTGTGAGAAAAAGAAAAGAGGGCGAGGGGATGGGGAGGTGTGAGCACAAAAGGACGATGCTCTTTTATCCATTTGGGAGTTTTTCTCCTCAAAGCGCCCGGCACCAAAGCGGTCCGGGGTTTGCCGGGATGCTGAAAGCGGCCGGAGAAAAACCCGCTCGGTTTTTCCGCTTTAATTTCTCCCGCGCGGGCTTTGTGCCGTAATTAGATCAACTTTCTAATGAGGAGGCCAAATGAAGTCAGCAAGGACCGAGCGGCTTTTGTTGGAGCCGTGCCAGGCCCGGCCTGGCACATCCCGGGACGGGAACGAATCCCGAGCCCGGAGTCCACCTGGGGATCTCCCACCACCCGCCCCGACTAAAACCGGGTTTGGGGGCTCATGGGTCCGATTAAAACCGGGTTTAGGGCTTCACACACTGCACACTCCCGACTAAAACCGGGTTTAGGGGCTCATGTGCTGCACACTCCCGACTAAAACCAGGAATTCACTTCGGGAATTCGTTTTTTAGGGGTTCATGTGCTGCACTCTCCCTACAAAAACCGGGTTCACGCACTGCACGCTCCCTGCCAAAACTGGTTTTAGGGATTTATGTACTGCACACTCCCTACTAAAACTGGTTTTAGGGGCTCACGCACCACACACTCCCTACTAAAACTGGGGTTTAGGGGTTTATACACTGCACTCTTCCTACTAAAATTGTGTTTTAGGGATTTATGTACTGCACTTCCCCTACTAAAACTGGTTTTAGGGTTTTTTTGTACTGCACGCTCCCTACCAAACCCATTTTCAGGAGCCTTAAACAGCCGCGGGGCGCTGAGCTGAGTTTTGCGGGACTCTCAGCCGAGTTTTGCGGGGTTCTGAGCTGAGCTTTGCGGGGCTCTGAGCTGAGCTTTGAGGGGCTGTGATCTGAGTTTTGCGGGACTCTCAGCCGAGCTTTGCGGGGCTCTAAAATGAGTTTTGCGGGGCTCTGAGCTGAGTTTTGCGGGACTCTCAGCTGAGCTTTGCAGGGCTCTAATCTGAGCTTTGCAGGGCCCTCAACCGAGCTTTGCGGGGCTCTAAAATGAGTTTTGCGGGTCTATAGTCCGAGTTTTGCGGGGCTCTGATCTGAGCTTTGTGGGTCTGTAATCTGAGTTTTGCAGAGCTCTAAGATGAGCTTTGCGGGGCTCTAATCTGAGTTTTGTGGGTCTGTGATCTGAGTTTTGCGGGTCGCTGAGTTGAGTTTTGCGGGGCTCTAATCTCAGTTTTGAGGGGCTCTGAGCTGAGCTTTGCGGGTCTGTAATCTGAGTTTTGCAGGACTCTCAGTCGAGTTTTGCGGGGCTCTCAGCCGAGTTTTGCGGGGCTCTAAAATGAGTTTTGCGGGTCTATAGTCCGAGTTTTGCGGGGCTCTGATCTGAGCTTTGTAGGTCTGTAATCTGAGTTTTGCGGGTCTGTGATCTGAGTTTTGCGGGTCTGTAATCTGAGTTTTGCGGGGCGCTGAGCCGAGCTTTGCGGGGCCGATCCCGTCTCCAGCGGGGTCCGGCCGAGGAGGAGGAGGAGGAGGAGGAGGAGGAGGAGGAGGAGGAGGAGGAGGCGGCAGCGCTGCTCAGGCCGGGCTCAGAGAATGGGAACATCGGCGGGCAACATTTATTTACTTGTTGGGAGCGGGCGGACAAGGGCGGGCCGGCGCCGGACGCCCACGGCCATTTGTTCGCTGTCAGGAGGATTTAGTGCCCGGCCACGCGGCTCCGCTCCGGCCTCGGCCTCTCCCGGGCCAAAAGTTCACCCTGAAAGCCGAACCCGGCGGCGAAAAATTCCCTTTGCGGTGTTTGTCCCGTTCGGTGACAAATCCCCGCCCGCCAGCGGCGCCGCCCTCCTTTTGCCATCCCAAAATTTGATTTTTTTTAGCCGTTTCCAGCTGCCGTTCCGCCTTAAAAAAAAAAAATTCAATTTGCCGTTTGGTTGTTCACTTATTCTCGCTCGGCTGAGGTTGAGAGAGCCCCAAAATGAAAATATTTAAATATTTTGGGTTATAAACTTTCTCCAAAACTTCCTTTTCTTTTCTTTTTTTTTTTTTTTTTATCATTCAAAGCGGCGCTCCCGTCATTCCCCCGGCAGGGAAAAATCGATTTTTAATTCGATTCCTTTGATATTTCCTTGAGTTCGGGTTCAAATGGATGATTTATGGTTTTAAAAGGAGAAAAAAAAAAAAAACCCAAAACAAAACAAAACAAACCCCAAAAAAAACAAAAAAAAAAAAAAGAGAGAGAAAATGCAGATTTTATTTGTTTATTCATTTGTTTATTCTGGCCTGGGATCCGTGGCTTTGTGTTTTCCGATGGTTTTCCGCAGCTGTTGCATCAAGGGGATTTTATTTTAAATTAAAATAACGAAAAATCGCGATTTTTTTTTTTTCCAGTTGTGGCAGGGAAACTTTTCCTCCAAGGCGAACCTCAATTAGAGCTGAGGTGGAAAATCAGATTTTTGGCGGTTTTTTATGGATGTCCTAAAATTGGAATTGATGAAAAGTGGTCAAAATTCAGCCTGAAATGGGGACGGGTGCGGGGCTGGGATCGCTTCGGGAATTTGGAAAAAAATCGCTTTTTTTGGGATTCTTAAGATTCAAATGAGGGGTTTAGGCCTGGAATAATTTTGAAATTTTGGGAAAATTGCCTTTTTTTTTGTTCCTAATGCTCACATGAGGGATTGAGGGCTGGGATCACTTCGGGATTGGGGAAAATCGCTTTTTTTTTTTATCCCTTTGATTCAAATGAGGGATTTGGGGCTGGAATAATTTCGAACCCCCAGCTCTTGTTCCAAGCCTATGGAAGAATCTCGATTTTAAAATCTTTAAATCTTTATTTTAAAATATTTATTGGAAGCCTTTACCTGAAATCTCCATTTAAATTTTAATCTTTATTTTAAAAGCATTTTAAATCTTGATTTTTGAGCCTCGATTTGAAACCTTGATTTGAAATTTTTTTTTTTTTTTAATTTCAGATCTGGATTTTAAATCTGTGTTTTTAATCTTGAACCGGGGGAGGTTTTTGTGCAGGGCACAGAGGGGGAACGAGGCATTTCCAAAGGCTCAGAGGGTCTCCAGATGCTTCGTTTTTGGGGTTAAACAGAACTTTTTTGGGCTAAATATAACTTTTTGGAGGTTAAATAGAACTTTTCTGAAGTTAAACATAACTTTTTAGGGGTTAAATAGAAAATTTTGGAGGTTTAATGTAACTTTTCTGGGGTTAAATATAACTTTTGGGGGGATTAAACATAACAGTTTTGGGGGTTAAATAGAACTTTTTGGGGTTAAATATAATTTTTTGGGTTAAATGTAACTTTTTTGAAGTTAAACGGAACTTTTTTGGGGTTAAATGTAACTTTTTTTGGGGTTAAATAGATCTTTTTGGAGGTTAAATGTAACTTTTTAGGGGTTAAATGTAACTTTTTTTGGGAAGCATCAATTAGAGCTGAGGAGGCGCTGTGGTGAAAAATTCGGAATTTTAATCGGGGAAAAAAGGCAGAAAATTCAAATAAAAAAAAAAACCAACGAACAAAAAAACAAAAACACAACGGAAGAAATACAGATAATTCAGATGAAATAGGAAAAAAAAAAAACAGGTAGGAAAAAAACCCGATAATTCAGATAAAATAAATTTTAAAAAAGGGGGGGGAAGCACAGATATTTCAGATAAAATTAAATTTAAAGGAAAAAAAAGGTGAAAAATCAGATAATTCAGATAAAGTAGGAAAAAAAAAGGGGGGATAAAAGCCCAGATAATTCAAATAAAATTTAAATAAAAGGGATAAAAGCCAAGACAATTCAGATAAATGGGGAAAATAAAACGGGAAAAAGCCCGGAGAACTGGGATAAAATGGAATTATTTTAGGGATCAGGTTCCGGCTCCCCTGGGAATCCCAGCGGATTTTCCACGGGCTGGAACCCGCCCCGCCTCATTAATTAGGCTCATTTGCATATTCATTAGTGCGCCAGAGTGGAGAGGAGGGGTCTGGAGCCGCTGCCCTGGGGCAGGGATTTGGGGCGTCCTGAATTCCTGGGAATCCCCTGAGATCCCAAATCCCTGGGGATCCCAAATCCCTGGGGATCCCAAATCCCTGGGGGTTCCCTCAGATCCCAAATCCCTGGGGATTCCCTGAGATCCCAAATCCCTGGGGATCCCAAATCCCTGGGGGTTCCCTGAGATCCCAAATCCCTGGGGATTCCCTGGGATCCCAAATACCTGAATGTTCCTTGAGATCCCAAATCCCTGGGGGTTCCCTCTGATCCCAAATTCCTGGATAATTCCTGAGATCCCAAATCCCTGGGGATCCCACATCCCTGGGAATTCCCTGAGATCCCAAATCCCTGGGGATACCAAATCCCTGGATAATTCCTGAGATCCCAGATCCCTGGGGATCCCAAATCCCTGGGAATTCCCTGGGATCCCAAATCCCTGAGGATTCCCACGGATCCCAAATCCCTTGGGGTTCCCTCTGATCCCAAATCCCTGGGGGTTCCCTGAGATCCCAAATTCCTGGAGAATCCCCCAGATCCCAGCTCTAACTGTGAGTCCCAAATC